CTGCGGGATTTGAACCGGCAACCTTCCAGCCACAGGCGCAGATCCTGAGCCACAGAGCCACTGCTCCGCCCCACCTTCTCCACCTGAAGAAGGCTCCACAGGAGCACGGAATAAACCTTTACTTTTCCTAATCAGAGAAATGGCTGGGGACCATTAATACCACAACCAAATCCCCATTTGAATTTTTAACAGATTAACAGAACGGATTATTTTGCGTTAGGTTGGCTCCAACCATTTATTCTGATTGGTCTTCTTATTTAAAAACAGCTGGGTAGCTGGGTATTTCACTGGAGCTGCACTCAGGGGTACAACAGCTGTGTCCCACTCGGGGTTGTGAACCCACGACCTTCTCGCTGTGAGTCCGGAGCCCCGACCACCACACAGCTGCCTCACGCTTGCGAGAGAGACAGCAATCTTGCAGCACCGTTCAAAAGAGGCCTGGTCTGAAGTCCCAGCCTCAGCGTCACAGATATCGCAGAACACGAAACGGACAGATTCAAGACGGAAAAGGATACATATGGGTTGGTTTCGGACGGCAGGCCGTTGAGCTCAAAAATGTTGAGGAGGTCATAGTACTGACCATGAGTGTCTCCGCAGATAGTGATCTTCTCTGTCTGCGGGAGAGAGTAGCAGACGATGAGGACTGACCACTATCACAGATCTGTGCAGCTGCAGCTAGCTTTCACTTTCTAGAAACATTGTCATGAATCAGACTGGAACACTGCGATACAACGAGAGCCATTATTCCAAAAAAGCAGGACTTGCAAAAGCCATGGAAGGAGAGTAGGAAATCCTCCCCCCCCTCCCCCTTGACAAGACTCAAGACTGGGTGCCCACCTGGCAGGTCCAGTGCAACGACAAGGGCAGAGTGCAACAGGCACACAGGAAACACACACTCCAGATATGAAATGGGGAAACGCTAAGCCTGAAGAAGATGCTTATGAAACAGACTCGGGTATTCATGGTCACCTGTATTTCCCATCTTTCAGACAATGTACTAGACCGGTGCATGGCAAAGGCAAACACTGTTAGGATATAAAGTTAAAAGTGCAGAATACTATCAGGGCTAATCAGACTTCATTTAGGATACACAGCATACACAGCAGTGTAAAAGACAGCTCACTACAAAAATGGTATTGGAGCTATGGAATGAGAAGAGAAGAAAAGCAACCAGACACAATCTTGGACACAGTGAATCATTTTACAGATGGTAACAAGGGGAAACGACTCGAATATTTAAAATCCTCAAAGCCATTTAGAGAGGACACAGGGGCAGTGTTTAAACCGGAGAACAGAGCTCAGAGCTGTCTGTACACAAAGGGTGGTGGGGGTGTAGTACAGGTGAACCAGCCATGCTGTTGAACCCAATATCCTGGCTTCTTTGAGCAGTTGGATGAGGCCCAGCAATCGCCGAGTTACTAGCATGAAGCCAGCAGGGACAGCCTCCTCATTAGTCACCCCTTATCTGTGCTGTTCTTAAGCACAGAGCACAAGTATTCCCTATCATTAGCAACAGGCGCCTTCACGTAAGGCGAAACGCAAAAATAAAAATGTAAACTTACTCCTTGTGTATATGAAACTTACCTCTTTTAGTGTTATTTCTACGAGACTGGGGAGTTTGGACAGCACTTCTTTCACTTGGACCAAAATCTGGAAAAGAAAAGCAGGATCATTTTCTTTAACCACGATCTGAGCAGAACCAGACATCCTGGGTCTCATTGCCGTCCTCCAAAGAGCACATCTGTCCGAGTCTCTGCTTCCTGCTCAGGAACCAGCCTGCCCGGCTAATTCCGGAAACATGATTTTGTTTTTCAGCTTCTGCCTCAGTTTTTTTTAATCACTTGACATAAATGCCTGTAACTCATCATGCTGCACAGCACAAACAGATTAACTCATGAACTCGACCCATACTTGAAGAAAACTGTCCAGTTGAAGATGCACTTTTACTCCCCATGTGTGCAATCAGCATTCCTGCTGCAGACACAGGGGGTGCAGGACACCCAGAGCGCGTCCCTGGCACAGCACTCTTCTGCCCCACCAGACCCGGACACAGAGCAAGAAAAGAAGGAGGGAAGGAAAAGGTCAGCCCACCTGATAGGCACACTTCCTGTGCAGCTTCTTCTGCTCCTTGAACCAGGCCATCATCTCCTTCATGAACTGCAGGGTCACCTTCCCGTCCTCCAGCTTGGGCCCTGTGTACTCGTCCTCAATCACTGAGGACAGGACAGCACAGGGGACAGGAGGACAGCAGAGAGGGAAGGGAGGACAGGAGGACAGCAGAGGGGGAAGGGAGGACAGCACAGGGGACAGGAGGACAGCAGAGGGGACAGGAGGACCGGTGAGGAGAGAATAGACTCTCCTCAGAGGAGAGGAGAGGAGATGCAGGTGGAAGGGAGAAGACAGGAGACGAGAGGACAGGAGAGGAGAGAGGAGGAGTGGAGAAATAAGAGGATGTGTGAAGAGAAAAGAACAGGAGAGCAGTGAGAACTGGGAATACGAAGGAAGACTTAATCTACCGATCCCAGATCGGCACCCCGGCATCTCCAAACAGAGCTTTAAAGCTTTTTTTTTATAGCAAAAGCATGACATAAAAACTAGAAAAAAGGCATTTTAACTACAGAAAAAATAAGACTCAATATGTTTTTCAAAAATAAAAAGACGAACTTAGGAAGACAAGCTTGCAATAAAAGCTAGAAACCCCACAGTACCAACCCGGTCAGAATGATCTTTCAGCAGATAAGACAGCACGTTCAGTGTTTTGTTGCAGCACAGCTGGACCCAGCACAGCGAGGTCCCGGGGTGCCGACGGGCTTGGTGCTGCCCCAGCAGTACTCACTCATGTTCTCGATGTCCAGCGAGTCCACCACCGACCTCTTGTGCTCGTCGCTGGCGATGGCCCTCTCGAAGGCCTTCTGCTTCACGATCTTGCTGCACTCCTGGTACTTCACCTTGGCGTCCTTGTCGCTGGGCCGCACCTTCACCACCTGGGAGCGGAGAGCGGTGGAGAGCAGCGGGCAGGTCAGTTTCCCAGCGCGCCCCCCCAGTGTGACACACACGCACAGCAGCGCTGGAAAGTACCTGACAGCTCACAGAGCCCTGCCCCGCTCTTCAAGGGCATCAGACCACGCAGGAGACCGAGCGGCTCCTTCGGCTCTCTCCCTTCCCACCTCCCGGCTCACATGACCAACTCTGGTCACGTAGTT